GCAGGATTTCTCTGACCGACCGTGGCAGAAGGTGGCTGCGGATTTATTCTGTGACAACGGGAGAGATTACTTACTCATTGTTGATTACTATAGCGATTATTTTGAAATCGATCTACTCACCACTACGACCACAGAGGTAGTAATCAAAAGCTCAGATGTCAACACGCGCGGCAGGGTATACCGGTGGAGCTGGTCTCCGACAATGGGCCCCAGTTTACTAGCGCTACGTTCCAGGCTTTCGAAACCAAGTGGAAATTCGTGCACCAGCAAACCAGCTCATATCAGTCAAACGAATGGAAAGGCGGAGTCGGCAGTGAAGCAGGCCAAGCGACTGTTATCAAAGGCTAGAGCAACTGGCAAGGACCCGTACCTCGCGCTACTGGAGAATCGCAACACTCCTTCAATGAATATCAGTTTGAGTCCAGCGCAACGCCTATACAGCCGAAGGACTAGGATTCTGATACCGGCACGTGCAATACTTTAGCGGGTAGGCGTTTTGCACTGATGGAGGAGTATATGAGCAACACGGCGCTCAGCCAAGTGAATAAGCAAACCAGAACGATCCGTGTCATATGGTTATCCGTGCCTGTCTGAACAATGGAGCAAGAACATACACTGGTGTCATCGTTTTATCTGCAACTGCAGTCACGTAACGTACCTGTGGATCATGGGGTGTTCATTCTGCGGCTCTATGGTGAGTTCGGATCCATCGCGGCAGAAACTGCGCGGAACTACAACTCTATCCACTGCGCAATGAGACCTGTTAACAACCGGTACGTGCTTCGACTGGTGAAGAAATTTGATAGAACTGGGGGTGTGTACAACGTCAAACCAACCAGGCGGCTCCGCACCGCCACGGATGACATTTCAGCTTGTGCCGTCATAGGTGAGGTAGACAGAAAAAGTGATCTCAGCATTCGGCGAATCGCTGAACATTGGGCCACCACACCATATGCTGTGTACCGGATAATAAAGGAAAGGAAATTCCGAAAGTATAGTGAATAACAGGTTCAAGATTTGAACTCATGCGATTTGGAGAAGCGTCTGGAATTTGAATACCGTGGACGTATATTCCATTTTGTTTACTGATGAGGCAGTTTTCCGTCTGGATGGCGTAGATAATCAGCATTTTTGGACAATAAATAACCCACGACGATGCAGTGCTTCCTGTGTGCAACATGGCGCACAGCTTATGGCATGGGATGGATTAACTGGTCAACCAATCGTAGGACTATATTTCTTTTCTAAGAAAGTGACCGGTAAGTTGTTTAACAGAAATAATGCATTACATTCCTTAACATCTTCGTACAAGGAAGTGTTGCAGAACTGTGTCATTCCACAGCTGGTGGCCGAAGGGTTATTGAGCACCGTTTGGTGATAGCAGGATGGTGCACCTGCACATTATGCACAAACGGTACGTGACCACCTAAACGGGACTTTAGGTCATTGTTGGATCGGTCGGGGAGGACCGATTGAGATTTAAACCCCTGGTACTTGAAACGAAGAGTTTTTTAAAACCAAACCCAATAGCTTTGAAGAACTGAAACAGAGCATATTGAATGAATGTGGCGGGATCGCAGTGAAGAGATTGCAAAAAGTGCTAGTCAATAGCACCCGGTGAATACTGCTCTGCAAGCGAAACTATGGGAGCTTTGAACGTCTACTTCGTTTATACTTATGCCAATTAAACAGATTTCATGGAAATAAACGTATCCTCCATAACGAATGAATTCACGAATAAATTGGTGCGATGATGAATGGTGCCAATAGTGCGTGGGGGCAGAATGAACATTGCCAGAAGCAAACAAAACGGTAAAGTGAGACAAAAATGGAGAAAGTGCTCCAGGTAGTATGATTCCACTTAGCAACGAAAGCAGGCTACTAAAATCTTCCGGTTTGTCGAAAGCGAGTTATGAGGCTATAACAGCTTTGGATTTCGTGATTGTCTTGAACTCCCGCACCAATCTTGCATCGAACACTTACTCCGGTAAGCTGTTCCAAACATTTCCCATACAAGATGATTCACTTAAGGTCCGGTACAACCCGCGTTTGTACCTGTGTGTCTGAGAGCGCTGCATCACTGGGATCTCATCAGAAGTGAAGAGCCGCGGTGTAGCTCTTTCTCATCACAGCACCTCACGATCGGTTTCGTAGTTGTTTAAACTCTTCAGACAGGGATAGCCTGCGGAGTGAGTGACGATGGTTATCTGTTGGCCGTATGATGCTGCAAACCTAACTGCGCCACAAGTTTCCCATCATCATGGCCTATCTGTTACTACAAACAACCATGCTTAAAATGCGTCTATAAATACAACAGAATCGAAGCGATCGATAGTACACTGTGCGCATTAACTGGGCACAATGCGTATAGTGTGTTGTACTTCCAAGATGTCGTGCATACTCGCCCTCCATGTCGACATTCCATTTGGATGGCTGATCAGGTATCAGGTGATATCGGCGTCTCTCTAATCAGGATGAAACCTAAAGCTGTCCATTTCAACGTTGTGTCGAAGCACGGGGTCATAATAACATTTGTTTTATTAACTACAGATTTGGCTCCAGATACTATGATTTCACTCAGCAACAAGAGCAGCCTAATAAAAGCCTCCGGTTTGTTGGAAGCGTGTGGTGCGGCTATACCAGCCTTGGCCACGATTGTGTTTCGTTATCAACAAGCGCCCATGGAGTATGAATTGCTCAGTGCTCTCCTGTTCTTATCCACTGCTAAAACAGCGCGCCAATAACTATTCGGCATGGATCACCCTGGCTTGTTCATTAACCTGACTGAGCGCAATGTACCTATCGGACTGCTCTGTCTGCCCACCATCGTAACAAGACTCGTAGACGTGATGAAGCCGTGTTGCCCACACATTTCTCCATTATATCCCTGTGAATGGGTGAACGAACTATCGAAAATTGGATACTTGGCAACTTAACGTGCTCCCGTGTCACGCGAACGCGTGTGGCGGTTAAACGAGTTACTTATGAAAATCCAACCAGATTCTCAAAACACACTGTAGATGTCACACCTCCCACTTTGGAAGAGATTCGAGATGAGCTTCCCGTGTTGAAGCGAAACAAGGCTCCTGAACCCGACTATCTTTCTCCATCTGTTGAAAGATAGAGGTGGCCCCGTAATGTCTGGACTTGCTTCGCAAACACGATTTGGAAAACTGAAGAGGTGCCTTGAGACTGACTACTATTAACTGGCTTGCCCATCTTAAAGAATAGTAAGCGCACTTTGTGCGGAAATCACCGAGGCAGTTGCCTTGTTTCCACTGCCTCCAAAATTCTTTCGGATATCATTCTTCGAGGACTTACTGGTCCCCGTGAGAAGCGAATCACTGAAAGCTAGGCTGGTTTCTGCCCTGGACGTGGTTGTATCCATCACATTTTTACTTTTCGCCAAGTTTTAAAGCAGGGACATATACAGACGGACGACTATGGTGGTTTTTCTTGACTTGAAAGTTGCCTTCGACTCTGTTGACCGCTTGTGGCACTGCCTATCCATGAATGGTGTGCCGGCTAAATTTCTTTCCATCATACAGCCTTTCTGGCGTGACTCCTGAGGCCGCGTAAGCGTCTACGGGAAACGGTCTCACGGCAAGTGGGGTTCGCCAGGGCTACCTTATCTTCTTTCCTCTTTAACTCGACGATCGAAATGATCATGAAAGAATCGGTTCACTCAGACTCTACCGGAATGGAAGTTCTGTGAGGTGATGAACTGACAAACCTGGAGTACCCGAACGACATAGCTGTCCTTAGATCTGATGCAGTGGCTATGCAAACACTACTGGATAGACTGACGCGTAGCGCTGTAAGTTTCGGCATGTACGTTGCACTTCCAAAGTGTAAAGTACTGTTGCAGGACTGGACCGGCACACTTTTGGTACTAGCTATCACCGAACAGCCACTGGAAGTGGGGGACGGATTCACTTACCGTGGTAGCTGTGTCCTCTCTCTCCACTGAGGAAATAACTTCGCGTCTCAGCAAGGCCCGTGTGGCTTTTCAGAGGCGCAACCATCTATGGAGACGGCGGGACATCAGCCTATTGGTGAAAGGTAGAGATAATGCCGGTGTTACTGTAGGGATCAGAATCCTGGCCAGTTCGCCATGAGGACAATAAACGCTCGGCCGGGTTTAACCACAGGTGCTTGTGAAGTATTGCTCACGTTTGGTGGGAACACCGGGCAATCAATGCGGAGGTCCGCCAGTTGGATTTTGGCAAGAAGCATTCTGGTGCCTCACTCGAGTGTTTGCTGAGTCTTAATCGCTTACGTTGGCTAAGCCATGTCCTCCTGTATGCCAATTGACCGGCTGCCTCGGTGTGCATTATATGCCGTGACTGCACTAAGTTGGACGAAACCGCGAGGCGGACAGTCCATGAAGTGGCACAGAGCATGAAGAAACTGGCTGACTTGATCAGACTGGTACGTGCTGTCTTGGTGGATGGATGCCTCGGGAAGGTCCACACCAATGGTCGGAGACCGTAACAGACATGGTACAGTCACGCAGTCGGTGGCGTTCTGCATTCGGTTTCTTGCATCTGATTGTTAATTTTCATTCCATTCTGATTAGTTTAACGTACGTCCTTCCCGCTTCCATTCTCTTTCCATTCAACCCCACTATCTTGCTATTGTTACTCGTTGTTGTTCTTGCGATGTGAGTCATGGCGACTGGATCCACTGCATTTCGGTGCTCAGATCATAGTTGTCCAACTGAATTGAACTGTAGGCTATCTGAACAGTGATCCGGACATGATGCGTCACGTAAGTGGAAGCCCACAGAGCGCATGACTCAACAGGCATGGGCGCGGGATCAAAGGCGTTCGGATTCGGGGTCGTCAGATCACAGTGGTGAAAGATGGCAATATGGATTCTGCATAAACATAAAATTAGCTACAATAAACGGTTACAAAGAAAAGAATAGATAAACGATGGTCGGTCAGAAGGAAAACATGCTAGAAACACGGAACACTTGACGGGAAACAGTGAAGTACCTGGGCCTTTGATTTGTTACGTCGCAGGTTAAGCCCGACGTTCCATATTTGCCGGCGGCTACTGTTGCGTGCAACGCCCGACTGATTTGAGGCATGGGTGTCGGGCTGAGGAGCATTGGAAATGCATGCGCCAGCCGCGGTATCCAAGGCTACCAGCAAGGTTCCAGTGAACTGCGCGATTACGTCAGCAGGAACACCGAAAGAGTGGGCGAAAACCGACACCGGGATGTTCGGATATATTCCATTGCGCTAGATGTGAACAGAGATAGGAAGGGACGAGAGATAAAAGCGATCAAGTTTGATAGTCGCAGGGGACAATAGGTGGGAACACATCTGAACTCAGACTACCATCATCGGTGCTGAGGTAAATGTGAGTCACACCTCAGACGACGCGTCATCAGTCGAAAACGAAAACAAGAGAAGGGGGAAAACATCGCTGGAGAAAAGGAAAACCGGGTTACAAAGGTTGGTCCAATGCTGCGCATCAGCAGTTGAAGACAGTGCTGAGGAACGAATTACATGGATTGGGCTCATTTTCGTATCAGTCGAGTGGTGAAGCTGTCTCTGCGATAGATTAGCTCGTACACCAGACACAAATCGGTGCAAAAGAACGGATAATATCATGCAATTAGTAACGCCTTCAAATGGATACGGTATGTGAAAGGCGAAAGGGTTTTGACAGACTACAGAGAAATAGCAAAATAGCGGAGATGAGGACAGTGTTGCAGTTCCGGAGTGACCGAAGCGATGGGTTGTAACGGGGATGATCACTAACCCTGTCAACGGCACATGCAAAACGGGATCGGGAACCGAGACACCGCTGTCACACAAGCAACAGAGTTCTGCGAGGTGTCAAATAAGAGATGAGAAAAATGAGAGACAGGATACGGCGAGCAACTAACCAAGTACACAGGGCAGGTTAAGTTGAAGAGATAAGGTCCTCTATGATAGATACTTCGCCTAATGTCCCACGCGCGACAAACGCACAGGTAGTTAAGTAGAAAACTGTAAACAGATAGATGGTAATAGGTAAACCAATTCTACTGAGGACACAGACGAGGTATAAAATAAGAGGCATCAGTAGCCCACAAGGTAGCTGGGGGGGGGCGAAAGCTAATAGTCCAGACGGTCGTTTCGCACCGAAGCTGCTACGAGAATGGTATGCATCCAAGAACATTGAAGTAACCAAAACATGACAACATCGACCAGAAAATGTTTTGGACGACTCATCGTCAGACCTTTCCAATCGTATATGGCGGTAAAATTAAGTCAAACTGATCGGATCAGTTCAAAGTACATAGATCACGTGAGAGTCAGGGAGCGATCTACGCCTTACAACGTTAACAGCTGCATTACGGTTGTTGAGCAAATGGCGGCTGACCTCAACACTACAGCTTGCTGTGACCAAGAAAGATGCAAAACCTGGATTGACTACTTATGGGAATACAAGGGCGATTAAAACAATCGCAGGAAAATTGCTTCAGCTATCGCAAGTGTATAGGTGCCGACCCTTCGATCGGTGTGGAGAAACCTGCAAAGAGTTTGGAAGACCCGGTCTAGATCAACTTAACGCTAGGCATTTACGATATGGGCGATAAGGAAGCCGCTACCGTCAGCCTGATACAACCGGCGTAGGAAGTGTTCGTTCGCCCAGTTTAGACAAGTGCTACGCCGTTCGACTGACATACGTTGCCCCAAAAACGGCATGTCTTTGCTTCCGATACAAAGGATCAGTTCCCTCGAAAATGTGCACACTAGCGCATCTGTTGGGAGATCGATCTGAATGCAGTTTGAAAGGATTTCTAGTTAAACGTAGCTCTGGCTCCTTTGAAGGGTGATCTGATAAATAGCTCTTTCTTCGCACTTGTTACAACCCGTACTAAACTGAATTTACCATAAGAATCTCTTGCGACAAATCCACCATGATAATCATATTCACACAGCGTATTCTTTATTGACGCCAGTTCTTCATCTAGTGTGTCTTCCGAGCATATGCGACGTGCTCTTGAGATGAGACAGTATATCAAATCTCGATTGCATCCTAGGACGACAAAACTGTAGAAGTTTGTACCGAAAAGTGGTGATTCAAGTAAAGCCGACAACTACCGGCAAAGCTGCCTGACCGCTGTTTTGGCTAAGAAAGTTGAGATGGTGCATAAAGGTCTTTTGCAGCTCTTTGAACCGAAAAGATTCTTGACGCCCACACAGCATGGTCTGGTGAAAGGTCGCTCATGCATCATTAACCTGTTCATGACGACGCACAATTGGTTGACAGCGCTGAACAAGGGGAAGTCGGTTGACATCATTTACATGGAATCCAGTAACGCATTTGACACGATGAATCATGAGGTCCTCCAGCACAGACTGAGGGAGTGTGGTGTTAGCGGCTCGCTGCACCAAAAGAACTGGAACTTCCTTGTTGGTCGAAAGTGGAGGGTCCAGGTCGACAATCATCTGACCGACTGGTATCCGTCGAGCAGTGGCGTGCCCCAGGGTACGATACTCGGGCCCATTTTGTTCCTGATCCATAAAAACGATATGCCTTGGTTTCCCCATTCGCCTTATGCGTTGTTTGAAGTTCCGTTGAAGGTGTGAAGAGTAATCAGCGCCCCCGATGACTGTGACCTACTTCAGTGCGACTTTGGCAGCCTCTTCATGTGGTCTGCAGAGGTTAAACTCCCGATTAACCCGGTCAAGTCGTTATTCACGAATATGGATAAGGGTCGAACCTATACTGTGGCCGTCCAACTATTGCATCCAAAGCTTTAGGGTAAAGACCTCGGTGTACTCTCAAGCTGCGACCTGAAGTTAATAGACAACACGAAAAGCCTTAACTAAAACAGACTTCATTTGCTATGAACGCTTAAACGCAGCTTAAGCAAATTGGTCCGAAGAGATTGCCCCGCGCCTGTTTGTCTCAATAATACGACCAATGCTAGAGTGCGGCTCACCCGCAAACTGTCCTATCATTCGGTGCGGGGTACAAAGGATTGCGCGGGAACAGCATGTGGCTACCAGGCTGATTCCCAATTTATAACATGCGCCGTAGGAAGACCGGTGTAAGAAATTAGGGCTTTACATCCTAGCTTATCGTAGATTGCGGGTTGACCTCATCATGACGAACAGGTGATAACCCCATGTTGAAGCCGCTGCTGTACTTGCGCACACCAAGCAGCACACGAAGACACCGGTACAAGATTATAGTGCCGAAATCGAAGCGGGTCGCCCACCAATTCTGTTTCGAATGCAGTAGTGAATATATGAAATAACCTGCTGTCACAAGTAGTCAGAGCAAAGCCGGTGTCGGAATTCAAGAAATTCCTGGACAGTTTGCTGACATGAAATATCAGGAAAGCTCTCTAACATAACAGGTCAGCTATACAGATTCATCTACTCATGTTACTTCTTTCTAGTATCCCGTATACTGGTCAACCCACGATTTCTTCATGCAGACTTATCGCTTGATGGAGCTGTCCATCCTCCCAGTGAAGAAGATAACAAGATATAGCGATGGAGTTACTGTTTCATCTTCCCAAGGTGTTTCGTGGACTCAGTTGAAGCGGTCAGAAACATCATCCAATTTAATGCGTAGTGTAATGCGATACTTAACGTGACAAAGTGTTGGTCGCTTGTTCTATACAATTTGAACTGACCCGGTCAATGCTACTCAATGCTACTGTGATATATGATTGTAAAGGTTCGACCGATCATCGAAAACAGCTTTTCGCTGATGGCATCTAGTTAGCAAGTGTGAAAAATAAAGGAGCGAAAACACTGATCGCATTAAGCAACACCATGTATTCACTTAAAACTGATGAACGAGTAACCCCACTATCAACGGTCTCAAAGCCCACAAGTTTCTTCGCTGCCAGCTCGATCGCAGAGAAGGTAAGCGAAAACGGTACTGTACTCAAGTGTTTAGAAGCAAGTAGCGTAATTGCACTCATATCGGCCTAGTGAGCAGTGACTCGCGTCCGCATTCCATAGGCAAAGCCATTCTATACCATTTCTCAATTGACGCAATAGCTTTCATCCTTAGCGCAGAAACTATAGTGCAATAATCACGAAGACGCCTTCAGTGAGTCAGCTGTCCGCTCGCCTCAAACGGACATCTCGTTTGTTCACACAAGCTCTGTTTGTGAAACCGTTCTGACTTCGTTCACAACGCACTCGATCAACCCACGGGTCGCGATGCAGTGATTCGGACATGTTCACTGCTACGTCTGTATTCGTCTGGAACCGTGCTGACTTCGCCTAACCTTCACATCCCAGGCTTTGACGTTAGGATCAATAGCATTTCCCGCAGTTGCTTAAAAAGTCCAAAATGTTGCAAAGAAAGCGCAAAAGCTTACAAAACTGTGCGATTCACCAGCCGCTCTGAGCAAATCCTCTGACCTCTAGCATGCTCTCATTGGCCAGGGGCAAGGGTGGGTTGTGTCAGTCAATTGAAGTGAGCCCACTGCCCGTTGACTAGGTGAGACTTGTGAACCAACCTCAAGTCCATGGACAAGGGCGGCGCCAAAAGATACTATGCGACACCCCTCACGTTTGAAACGCTGGATCGCAATTGGTCTGAGAGCAATGAGTGGACGGAATATAAGCGTACGACTGAATGAATGCCTTTCATTCCAGCGTCGTCAACATGCCTTCTCGTGTACGACAGAGTATCTCGTCACACATTCGGGAACAAGATGTAGATGCCTTCGTCAACGGTGACGACTGGCAGCTCGTGGCGACCGTGAACAATGTGAAATATCAAACTGCTTATTCCTGAATTCGTCGCTCTCTTGATCGGAAGCCGGATACTACGCAGGCGCGCGGTCGTAAGCGCATTCTGTCGGATGAAGAAATTGATGACATCCTGTAGTGGATCGCGAAGGACGCAACTTTAACACTACACGAAATGCGAGTCCGAGTACGTGCCGATATGGATAAGAACACTTCAAAGTCTACAATCGCACGACACCTGGATGGACGTTTGATGACTATGAAGAACACCTATCAGATTCCAAAAGGAATGAACAATGATCGAAATAAAACGATGCGAAAGGAGTTTGTTCAAAAGTTTCTCGAACTTGAAAGCAGTGCGAAGTTCTTCATATGGATCAACGAAACAAACTTCAACGTATACTGCAAACGTACTCGTGGTCGGGCGCCCAGAGGAGTGAGAGTCTGTGTCAAAGTAGCCAACAGTCGAGGCCTAAATTTGCATATCATCGGCGCACTCACAATAGATGGAAAGGTTTCGA